CCGCGACGGTCATTCGTTTATCCTGACTGTAAAGGATGCTCTTTAACTTCGTACACAATGAAGGTAGGTATTAACGATTTAAAACAAAAGCATGATTATTTTTAAACAAGCAGCAGCAATAAATATTATTTTGTACCTAACTGAAATTTAAGATCATTCTGATCGCACCCGTATTCGAACCATCCCTAGCTACGGGCCTGCACCCGCTAGCCTCTAGCATTCGTTCAAATATTTAAAGGGCGGCTGAATTTGATTTCATCCGTTTGGATCGCCTCTAGAGTGATCCGCAATTGGATCACACACGCGGTTACTATGGTCGGTCCCCTAAACTTCAAGAGTTACTTTGCTAAAATCAATTTGTCCGAAGCAAATTCAATTTAAATAGCTATAAAACAACTTTTCTCATTGATGTTCATAATTAACTTTAGTAAAAAAGTAAGTAAAATAATAAGTACCTAATATAAAAATAATCAGTTACGTTATTGTGTGGTAGGTATGTTACCATGTACCTACCTATCACTAAAATATAAACCAACACAAATACTTAACTTGATGGGCTTATAGCCATTGTTTAACCTAAACAGATACAGGTACATAGATAGTTGGGATGACAAATGAGTAACGACTTCTAATAAAAAAACTTAGTATCCATTAGCGACTTATTCAAACGAAAAAATGTATGTACCTAAAAATATACCTTTGCCTTGTACATAATACAATCCACATAAGACGGGCGGGGAGCGCCGGGGATCGGTTAACCCACGTTACACAACGCTCGTCCCAAGCGAAGGATTCCGACTTTCTACAAAGAAAATAGCAATCAAAATTTGATTTACCGCTACCCGCGGCCATATATCAAACCGCTCTAATCCGCGGAAAGAGAGAAAGCCTAAAATCTAAGGGGATCCGACATCGATGTCGAATTGAAAATCCTAGTGGCACGAACCGTCTTAAATATTTATGACCAAGTAAAAAATACGCACAGGCCTATGAATAAATATGCGAGAAGCGTCGGATGTGGCTAGTGCTAGGGGAGTGTAAATAACTCAGGAAATAAAACACATTTGCTCATTATACCGAACTTTTACATCTAAATCGAACGTTTTCCCCTTCATCTGCCTTTATGTTATTCTACTAAAATGTGATCAATATACATATTTTGTAGTTACTCATCTAAGGTTAGCCACTTAGCTTTTGTAATCACCCTCTCTAATAGGTACCATACCATTTTTTTTAAAGCTACAAGTGAATTTTAGTTTTTTGAACCAAAAAAAAATATGCAATATTTAGCGGCGTTTAATCATCTACCTTTACAGATCAATATAGGCAATGAAACACCTATTGCGCGAGATAATTCGGAATCGGACGAATATCAATTAATTTGTCTTTTTTTATTCTCTATACCTTGCACAATAATCTGAAATTGTTTGGAGGTAAGGTGTTAATAAATAACAAAATCGAAGTTCATTATACCACGAATAACCAACTAGGTATTAACTTTTTCGAATTTAATGCGAAATTCCTCTTCAGCCCTTCAGAACACACTGTCTGAAGTCGCTATGTAGGAAGATACCAGATGAATAAATAAAATAACATACATAAATTTATCGGGACCTATATGTATCTAATGTAGGTACTGGTGCGCGTTTTAAATCTCATTCAAAGTTTCAACCGTTATCCAAGTAACAACATCGAATAAATCGAGATAACGCAATAAAAATTACTTTCAAGAAACAAAACTAGCATCCCCTATCGGCAATTTTGCATCAAGATCGATCGCCGGAGGGCACCGTGCGGAGGGATCGGTGAGCGATGTCGCATTAGGGAGTTTGCATGGGGTCACCGTAAGCCGTTTCCGATAAGGCCCCCCGGCGACACAGCGGAATCGTTCGGACTTTCGGTATTTTCGGCTCAATACTTGCTTATCTGCGTGGCACACTCGCCTGCAATGAACGTGAGCTGAATAATGCATTCTTCTGTCCACCACTCACACACGAAATTGAAATTATTTTCCAATAATATATTTCTGATTGCGACGACGGTCGTAGGTAATAGTTATTTGACTGTGGGACGTATTATATTATTATTTTTCTCTTGTAGCAGTTGAAATATAACACGCCACCTTGGCACTTGTTTGTTAAGCAGGCGGAATCGCAGATACTAAGTAAGTCGGATACAAAAACTTGAAATATACCAAGATGCAAAAATTCGTAAGATGTTGCACAACTAGCTTAAAAAATCTGTTGTAGGTAAAGGAGATCTAAAATTAAGTATATTTTTTATATCTCCAACTATTGTTACCTAACTTTTCAAAATGTCATAGATACCTGCTAAGTAATCATCAAAATCCCTCCCTCATTACGGTGCCCGGAAAAAATTCTCGCCACCATACCAAGATTGAGATCTCGCAAGAGCCGCGTCCACTAACCTCTCCCACATGACAAATGTGCGTTTCCCACTTTTTACGCGTCGAGGGTGTCACGCAAAAAAATGTATGAGGAAATTTACCTAATGGCCGCGATTCTTTATTCTCTATCGCCATTGTCACGCGGACAATGCTGTAATGGAGGGATGACGTGAGTGGACTCTTCACGACACGCTGGGTTTTATTCTTTTCATTTTATTTGAAATGTTCGTGCGATGGTTATTTGTGAATATAAGGCAATAGATACACCTTTGTACAGCTCTGTAAGCGGTAACTACTTGAAAAAGCTTTTTCAATCCAAATATTCGGATTGTCCTCAGATCAGGTGGTAGGCAGGCAGGCAGATTCAGGGATTTTATCTTTAAATAAATTCCCTATTATTATATATACGAGTAATTAATAACAAAAGCAAAAGAAAATCATTTTCGAGCTAAATCCATTATTAAACTCTATTTGGAAACATTTTTATTATTGTTTCATAGCGAGTTATTGTCACGAAAAGTGAGGCAAAACGAAAACATATTTTCGGACGTATCTTTCGAAAAATATGGAGTTTTTATTATATTTATTAGTTAGGTTAGGTGAGTGTTTCCTACTTATTTTTAGCTCATGTTATGCAGTGCGATGTTCGGTTGTTAATCCTAATGTACCTAAGTAAAATAAAGTAATCCCCGTTACTGAAGGTATCTTTTTCAGAAAGTAACTTGTCTTAGGTATTTCTATTTAACTAGAACAGCTTTTAAACGATTTCGAAAAAGGAAGGATTTTCCATGTTTAAATATAGATATTTGCCCCTATTCCGTGTTTTTTTCGCGAAAGTAATGGGTTAGGTATACTATATACCCAACCTTCCTATAACTAGATAATGATCATCTGTCTTAACTATGTGCGACTTCAGCAAACAGAAGTCTGTACATAATTATTATTTTATGGTTGTCGTTGATTAACCATATTAGTGGGGGTAGGCATAGTCATGAATGTGCCGGATTGATACCATGGCTTCACAGAATACGACGCTTGCGTTGTGTTTCACCGTGTGTATGATATTTCCCTAATCTCCAAACCCCCTAAAAGGCCGGCAACGGTCTTGGGTCTATAAGCAATGCCGATTACTTTCATTAGGTGATCTATCCGCTCACAATCCATCAAAAGAAAATTAATGTCAAGCTTGTTTATACTGGCTTCCTTATCAAAATAAAGCCTGTTAAAATTGATTTCCGAAAGTGCTTTACAAAATTAATATCAGTGGATTATAAACCTAACACAAACACCTACAACCTGGCAGTTAAATACAAATAAAACTATTTTGAAAAAATTACATGATCACTTTTTATACATGATGTTTTATAATATAATTTTCATTAGCAATTACTTAACTTATTCAATTATACAAATTCCATAATTAAGGTTATTGTTTCCACTAATTATAATACTTATAATATTAGAAAATAACTAAGTAGGTATTCATAAAATTTAAAACACAATTTTGATCAAATTATTAAGGCAAAACAATATAAAACAAAATCCAAAACTTTATTATAATATGTAACAAAGTGATATAAGTTATATCTTTTTTTCTATTCAAATAGTATCAATTGATTAATATAACTTACCCATTTCACCAAATGCACAAAACTTAAAAAAACATAAACACAAATGAAATATGGTGTTTTAAAAATTTCACCGACCAATATCACAAATAATAATATCTCTTGACCAGGTGATATCACTATGCTACACCTAATTTGAATGAGCACAAAGTAGTAACATGAAGCTCTTCCAAACAATAACTGGTGAGAGACGGTGACCGGAGCACCCACCGAATACAACCGAAGGCTCTCCGGACGAATAACATTCAAAATCTTCCTAACTCTGCCCTGCTATTGGACAACCAACCCCTTACTCTGCGCGTGTGCTAAAAAATGAAAGGGTTAAAAAACAACCCTTTTTTAAGAGCTCCCCTAGTTTTGCATCCCTTTCTACTATCAAAGCATCACATATTTGTTTTAACAAGTCCCTTTTTTGACACCCTTTTATCTTAACAAAATAGGAAAAAAGGATCAAAGCTGATATTAATAAGGTTATTTATTAAATTATATTTTTAACATAAAATAGCATTTATTTAGTACTTAGACGAATCAAATAACGTATAAAATCAAGATATTTATAATAAAAAATAAATATAATAAACATTATTAATGGACTTACGATTATACAGAGGTATCTAGTTCAACATAAAATTCGTAATGTATTATTTAAATAACACAATACAAATAATTTATTTTAATTTTATACTAAGAATTTGGCGCTTGGCGCGCTTTGTATGTGGCATGACGTACTTGATATATATTTCGTTATACGCAAAAAGTAATTTCTTAAAAGTATTTAAGCAAGACTAGTATGTAAACAATTTATTATTTTTGATATTCCGTGTTATCTTTAACGCTTTATCTTAAAATTATATAAATTATATATCTTTAAAACAATTTTCTTACTTTACTTTGGCGTGTCACCGGCGTTACGTTTCACTCAGGAGAAATTTAATTTTGACAGCAATGTATTTGACATGGAATTTTTAGTGAGTTTCAAATACTTTGTGAGAAAAAATTGGACCAATAGCATTTTATTGCGAGAAAGACCAAGACAAACAACTTTATAGTTGCATACTAGAAAGAAACACAAAAACATTATTATGTAAACAAAAATTAAACATTGTGGTGACAGGCAAACACATTTAGTGTTGAATGTCAAAAAATCAGAACGTCATCCGCTATCTTTTTATTAGATGTTTAGCTTTGGCTTGGCCGCTGGTTGTGACAATTATATTATTATACTCATACTTGAGTACAGTATTTACATTAAATACAAGTACTTAAAATGACGCTTTATCATTTTGGAAATTGTCTAGCATTAGTTTATGCACCATATCATATGGCATACAAATTCTCGGGAATGTAAGTTCTAGCTATTACCTCTTCTAGGTTACCTTAGACCATAAGACGTGTTTTAGCAGTTTGCAATATTATTTATGAAGTAGTAATCAACATAACTTCTTATATTCTAGATCTGAATATGCTACATTCTCAAAATGTGTACATGCCGGAGGTCTTTACATCTTTACTCAGCTCTGTAAGATGCTGTTGCTAGCTACATTCTTTCCTGATACTGACAGCAGCCACATAACTGGAGAATATAATGTGTTTTTGGTAACTATTATAACTGTTTAATTTATGTTAATTCACAACTGTAACTTTCAGAAGTATTAATCTAATTATCAAAACATGACACACTATACAAATTGATTAACAAGCAGGACAAACATTCACTAATTCACTCTGTTTGTAGTTCAGTGCTCATATTATTAGTCCCAGTTGGCACAGAAATATAGCATTGCAATACATACAATACCTTTGCACAATCTTTTATGTAATTCCAGGAAATCCTGAAAGCAACAGTGGACTTTGCAGACTTGTTGGGGATCAGTGTTGCCAGAGGCCGATAGTCAAAAGTTACACGAGACTGATCAAAAAGTAACATTTTGTCAGAAAAAGTAACATTGGCTTTTTTTTTTGTGGAAACTGACAAAATACGTAAATAATAGTATGTAATGTAAATAATAATAATGGTATGAAAGATGGAAAAATACACACGAGTGAATGAATAAGTAGATTTAAGATTTGACAAACAATCGTATTGGTTGGTCAGTCCAGTCTGTCCAACAACGCCATGTAGTTTTCTATCAAGCGTGCCAACATGACTTAAAATTATATTTATAAGTGCGTTCCGATAGGTACACGATTTTGTTCGAAATACTGAAAAGTAACATAAAAGTAACATTGAGTGTGGTGTAACATGGAAGTAACATTGGAGGGCCAAAAGTAACGTAAAATGTTACAAAAGTAACATTCTGGCAACGCTGTTGGGGATATACTTTGCTCTGAACTCAGTGCCAGGCAAAGGTCATGCAAAAATACTGACATCAGCTATTGGGTGGGCAAGTGCAGAGGTAAGCTAATATCATAATCACTATTCATATCCTATTGTAAGTATGTTGGTCAGCCATGTTAGAAGCATGCCAGTTAAGAGCAATGAGGCACCACAGCCTCAGCCTAGAGCAGGATAGGCAATAACTGTCCTCTCATCTCGCCCTGGGTGGGAAGTCATTAGATGGTTTTCCTCTCACAAAAAATAAGCCAAAAAACAACTTTTTTTTTAAAGAAACATTGCCCCACTTTAGGATTTTCTCCTGTGTTGTGGGTGCGTTTACAAACAATCTCTTTTGTGGCATGGGACTTTCAAATTGTGTGTGTCAGAATAGAATATACTCATCGATAGCTGAAAAAAATTAAATGAAATTGAAAATTACAAAAACAACATGACTGGTAAATAGCCAGAATACATGTCAAGGAAGTCAAAACAAGCAAGCTGGTCATTGACTTTCTGCAACACAATAGTTTGGGCATGACAAAGACCACAAAAAATCACCAATTAAGCTTCTGTAATTTGTTAAGTTTTGAAAATGTACATTAACTGGAGTATGACCGGTCATTAGGGTCCCCTAAACTTTGTTGTTACTTCTGAAAGTGCTAGGATTTAAAGTGAAAATCACATTAGGCTATAAACACACATATTTATTATTACACTACCATGTTGATATGTAAAGGTTCGCCATCCCTGATCTTTGTACCAACACTCACTTCAATACCAAATTGACGTGAGTGTGAGTGTTTGAATACCACTCATTTAACGGAAACAAACAGATACTTAGTTTTAAGCACATACATATATTAAACATTGTAATTAAACATTACAATCCATAATGAAATAGAAGAATAAAATCAAACAATTGGAGCAGGAACTTTTTTTGAATTTGTCAAAAATATCCAATGGAACATCACTAGCAAGATCTTCTAATAAATGAGTTATTTCTGTAATTTATTTACATCCATGCAGCTATTATTGTCATTGGTTATTGTTGGATTGTTTAATGAGCATGAGTTAATGTATCAGGTGGTCGTGACGCGCAGTGTGTTGCTGTGGGTGGGAGCGCGGGGCTCGGAGTTCGACTGGCGCTACGTGCGCTCGTGCGCGGAGTCCAACGTGTCGCTGCTACACACGGCGGCCACTGCGGCGCTAGTATGGCTGTGGACGCGTAGTGACCTGCCTCGCAAGCATTCCCCCATCGTCATCACTCTGCTTGCCCTGTCTCCATACAGAGGCCTTATCGAAGAAGCTTTAGGCAGCATCCTCTCCCTCAGCGCTTGGGCCTTGTTAGCACTGAGAGCTATCCATGCTAGTGCAGTTGGTTTGACAGCTTTGGGGATGTATGCTGTCCTAGCTCAACAGATTGGAATTTAATTTAAATCATTATTTATTTATATGTGTAGATGTGTTCTAAGTTATTCCTTATGTAATTGTTATTCCAAAATGATTGATTGAATAAAATAAGTATAACATAAGTAACTTTAAATTATTTCTTAAGCTTGGTTTCAAATCAAATATCCTGGCATCAGAGGAAAAAATAATTACCACTAGATACATCAATACACAAATTATTATTGTAAGGTCCTACCCTTTTTTTGTTATTCCACTTTATACTAATTGTATGTGTTGTATTTTCGTTCTTTACTTTCTCAACTTATCTGAAATGCATACTTAACTTTTTTCAAGAAGTTTTTGTTTATTATAGTAACAGTATATTCTTTCAAGAAGGACATCCAAACTAATATTATAAATGGAAAGTAACTCTGTCTGCCTGTCTTTTCTTCACGCCTAAACTACTAAACCTATTTGTGTGAAATTTGGTATAGACATAGTTTGAAACTTGAGAATGAAAGTTTTCTAACCAAAAATCTGCAGTCTCTATTCCACGCGAAACAAGTTGCGGGCAAAAGCTAGTAAATAATAAAAAGAAAATGTGCTCTTTGAAGCTGAGGTGGTGGTCAAGTATGACACCGAGATACTTGGTTTGCGTCTCCCAGGGGATAGAATTGTTTAAGCGTATCAGGTTGGAGAATACTGAACAGTACCGCCTGACTTTCGTACGGGTTCATTTCGATTCTCCATCTCCGGAACTGTTGTGTTGCCACCGGCGCAGTAGATCTGAAGGGTCGAAGGTGAACAGACTGGGTTTGAGATGGGATCTGGCTGATGTACAGCATGAAGAGTGAAAGAATGGTTGAAAACGACTTTTCGATGCGGTAGCAAAAGGACCGGTTTGACAGAAAGCCCCGAATGATAAGCACGAAGCTGTCTGTTACGCTGAGCTGGTATCTTTAGCTTGAAAATCAAGGCGTTGTGCCAGACTTTGTGGACTATTTTCTATTTAGAATAACAGAGCACTCGGCCATCAAGCCGCGTTGAAAGCGAGAGCTAACAAACTCGACGATGCGGTGGGCCTGATTAACTTTGAAATAGTGGTATCGAAAGCCAAATTGTTGAAGTGGGATTCGGCTCTTCGCGTCGGCGTAATCCGTCACATCATCGAAGGCAACGCTTTTATCGGGGTATGTGATGGGCAGAATCGTTGACTTCAGTGAAGCCCAAATTGCTTTAAAGACCTCAGAACACCAGCGCCGAGAGTCTTGTCCCAATGTTCTTCGCGAAACGAAACTATGTCTGACTTTGCGCTGTAGGTAACGCATAAATCTTGTTGCTCACCACACACCTCCCATGCGTTAGCTTAGCAGACTTATATGTAAACAAGCATGGGAGGTGTGCAACTATCAATATAATCGATATGTGATCTGTTTTTTTTTACATATGAATAATAGACAGATGATGGATTTTAATGCTTCTTGAATAATAGATGTCTTCTATATTGTGTATAAGAAAAGATTGTCGGACTTCAAGATACAATGAATGTTAACGTTAGTTCTAATTAGTTATAGTTTTGATAAAATAAGGAAGCAATGAGTTGAGTTATTCAGAGCAAGAAGAATAGCGAAATAAACGCCCTCCTTCTGAATAGAGTATCCTAAAGATATGAAACATACAAAGTCTGTTTCGAATCTTGCTTAATTGTCCTTTTTGGTATTTGAAGTTTCCCAAGTGGAAATTGTGAAAATTATAGGATAACGGATATTTTTAGACTTTTGTAGGCGTCCGTATTGTGTCGTCTTTACTCATAAATTACTTATACCAAAAAAAAGCTATTGCTCTGATCTATGCTTTAAATTGACATTGACGTTTATGAAAGTTTGATGGAAAGCAGAAGTGACATGAAGAAACGTCAAAAACGGGAAATTAAAATGGCGACAACACCGTAATTGACGTGTGTTGTTTGTTGTTTTTAAGTTTAATAAAACTATATTTGTCGTATTGACCTTTAAATTAGCGTATTGTGATATGGGCAGAGTGGACGGAAAAATTTAAACATTACATTTCATTTCTGTGATTTGTTAAAATATATTATTAAACTAATATTGCCCTCGTCATGAAGTTATTTACATAATTTTACAAGTGTTATCGAAGCGCGATGTTTGCCCCAGTGTTCTTATTATTTTTATTGTGCCAAACTAGCGCCGAACCTGTAACAGTAAAATATCGATGTGAAGTGAGTAGTAATGAAGCTGCGGTCACTACATTTACACCTTCGTCTGATGGAGTCAGGGGTCGGTACACTGCAGAACTGTGCGCCCACCACAATTCTAACATGACAAACTTGACGATAAATCTAACATATAACGAAAACAAGAATGTGTGTAATACCACTAGAAAGCACAGATGGCCCATAAGACCTGGTCATCAGCACTCTTTGAATACTGTAGACATAACCAATTTGACAAACTGTACCCGGGTAAGTTTACCATTTATTATGAATGTGTGCAGCATAATATTGATTTATAGGAACATGCCTGTCAATATAAATTGTGATGTGCAATATTTATTACAGGTGTGCTATGCTATGGACTTTGATATGATATTTAGCAGTTGTTATGAAATCAAGAGCACATTTACCCAGGGTAAAACAAGTGGTGCTCCATTTGACTCGTACCACCTCATTTATAACAACATCACCAAAGAGGACTATGACAAAAATAAGCCTAACATTAATTTTGTCAACCATGAGTAAGTAATGTTCTCAATCATTTAAATACATTTTGCATACATTAAACATTATGTTAAGGAATGTATATGTATAATGTATTTACTTTAAAACTCTTAAAATGTACCAATTACAGTGATTGGGTGTCACTGCACTGGTACCTGGGTATACCAGCAGTGGATTACAATGTGACACTGCATAAAAAGGACAACAAACTTGAGGTAAATTATTAAATTGTTTATTGACCATGACTTTGATTTCACACACACTTATTCTTGCATGATCAGCTTCAATGTATACATAGGTATGCAATAAGAGAATAATACTAACTGCTGTTATTATTCTGGTGTCAATAGTTATAAGCCAATGCATGTATGTTTGTGTTCCAGGATTACCTAAGCCAAGCTGAGATTGTGACACAGAACTGCACTGTTTTGGAAAACGTAGAAGAGCTGAAGTGCGTGCTAGCACCAGAGTATGGGTGCTACCAGGCCATACTGGAGCATGGTGGCCTCTGGACATCCGGCATTTTTACTGATATGAGATTTGTCAAGTTTAATTTCTGTAAGTAACTATTATTTTTGTTAATGTTCTTCTGGTATTTTCTATCATATGTTGATTGCCTACATAAGTGCAAATATTCAGAGAGTTGCTCAGAGAGCCACAATTGTGATAAGAAGGTGAATTTAATGTCAAAGGTGACAAATATTATGGCTCTACTTACTGAAAAACATAGATAAAATGTGCAAAATTATATAAACTATTATTATTCAACAACTACTAAACTGTGGCAACATCTTTTGTTTTTATTTGAAGTATATGATATTTACATCACAACTGTTGAGGCATGTTAACAAAACATTGAAAAGTGTTTTTGGTTTTCCAATCATAAATGTATTCCATTTCTAAGAGTCCTCTGTTGTTCTGTTTTTTGGTTACTTGGCTGTTTCATGTATAATGTGAAAATTAAATTTATTCATGGAGTGTGTAAGACAGCTAATCTTAACATAGATGATATTTTTATTGCCATTATAACAAATCAGCAAATGTGTTTTTTTTCTATTTTAAATGATAACTAGCTTTTGTCCTAAATACAAATTGATACAGTATAGATATAGATTTGTTGCTTACTGCAAGGTCTATTCTACACGACTTGTTTCGTTTTTTTATTGTAAAATCTAACTGTCTCAGTCAGCTACCTTTATGAGCCTGTTACTGCCTATTTTGTAATGCAAATTCGGAGTTGGATATAGTGTGCGATGTGTTGGTCCCGAGCAGGCCACCAGGCGGCGGCGGCGGTGTCGCTGCGGGCGCGCGGCGGCGCGGCGTGGTGGGCGGCGGGCGCGCTGCTGGGCGGCGCCGCGCTGGCGGCCGCCGCGGCCGCGCGCCGTCTGCTGCGCCGCCGCTCCTACCACAAGCGCATGCTCGACCTCATGTTCCGGAACCGGTCAGTACTCCGCCACTACTACACTCTTAATAAACCTCCATTTATTATCGTATCAAAACAAAGGTCAAGCGATATCTTAACAATTCAGCTGTATATGGATATTTATTTATCAATATTAGCTAAAACAATTAATTCATGACATAAACGTTCAATTGATTGATTGCTAGTACTTATCCAGTGTACGTGTGCGCACTCTGAATACTACGTGCCACCTTTGCATAGTTTGCACTTGCAAGCCACAGAACGCTTCAGTACCTACTTATTTAATTACAAATCATAATTGTGTAAACCATATTCGTGTGATGCGAATTGAGCTCTAAAGCATATGCGAAACGTCTTTAGCACAATAAAAGCCCTCGGTCGTAGAATCAGTTAAAAAATTTTAACACGGAAATCATACTTGTAATCACGACTACAAGCACATGCGTTACAAATAGTTATAGTGCTGAAAGAAAGATAAGTATAAAAAAATATTAATATGTCTAAGGGCACATTTTTCAATAGTCAGATAAATGTTATCTGAGGAACTCTGAGGAATAACATTGTTGCTGTCACTGTCTTATACAAAAATTCTGACGCGACAGCATCATAATTATTTCCCAGGTACAGCCCTAAATTTAGAAGTAAATAATACGCATAGACCATAGACCGAACGTATATAACATTAAATGCTATAAGTAAAATGAAATTACGTGTTTACTAATCAATACACAAGTTTCATACATATAATTCTTATCTCCACAAAACTTACGATAGTTTCCTTAAGGAAAAAGAGTATAATAACCTCGGGTTCAACTTGTTTTTTTATGGGTATTTTTAAACCTAATCAATGTGTTTTTGTCCAAAAGCTGACCCAGGATATGGATAGCCGACTTAACTAAAGGGAAGGTAATATAAGTGACGTATTCCTTATCATATTATAATATTATTTCATTATTTAGCTGCCGGCAGATGTCAAAGTAGCTATAGGTATGACCAAATTCATAAACAATTAATTGTCTTTCGAAGAATCCTAATTACCTACGATCAATAATTTACCAACTATCAAGGTGACTAGATTTATATTCGATTACACTGTTGTGCCGTTAACTGCGACCAGCTCACACACGACATAATATTAGGAAGTAGAGGAACTTAGATACAGTACAATTTATTCACATATATTTTATCTCTTTATGGGTTACGGAAGTTGCCTTTGTTCTTTTAATGAGTAACTATTCCATACGAATATGTAATGTAATACTATTAGCAATACAGAATGTTCTGTGATTCACTCCTCGCATATGAATGTCCTCATTGTTTACAGTCGAAAAATCGATATTATAGATTAAGTCACAATTTTGAAATGCAACAACCGAGGATAGAGACCAACTTATTTCATCTACGGAGAGCCCATCATTTAATGTGTACTAAAATATGCCATTTATCTGATCGTAATAATTCCAAGTCAATATAACCGTTTTAATCGAAATAACTCGTAGTGAAACCCACTGCGAGGAGTCAGACCGAAACCATTTACACCCAGAAACTACTATAAAAACTATAACAGTAAATCTGAAATTGTGCGATCGTTTTGAAAAAACTGTCGCTTCTTTGTCTACGAGAAGCTGCGATCATCGCGTAAAAGTATTGTACCTACTTTGCCTCTGTGTCGTGGTGTAAAATAAGAATAAAAAGTCATCTAGCAATGTGTTGTACCTACCTTCGCCTATAATTTTAGAACGAGTTTAATACTTAATTCGGAACATACCAAACTGCTTATCATACAAAAGGAAGCTGAATTAGTTCCTGTTTGCGGAATATACTCGAGGAAAATTGGATATCGATTTTTATTATTATTATAACAGCCGTAAAATACTTAAAAAACTGGCATATCCATAGTATATTTATTATATTAATACATTGTCAAACACACAGCCGTATTATGATTACTGAAACTATGACCTCAGATATGGAGGTGGCATGTCATATATCAAAAATAATATTTTTCTTCTACTTACTTACTCCAAATGTCAAACGTCTATCACTGGCAGACCTCAACGATCACCCCCCTATTTGCATAGGTATAGTATAATACCTACTACTTAAAATCAAAATGTAGTGACTTAACTACCCAGATTCGATCAACCTACCATAATAAAATATTATTTATCTCAAAAAGATGAGTAAAAGATGTATAGAGGAATTGTTATGTGAAAAAGTTTCATAAATCATTTTTGCATAAGTTTGCGCAACAAAACCGACCGATGAACAAGTGATGGACAGGTTTACCATGACTTTAAATGGCTGTCGTAGTGAGCGTTGTAGCAACCTTCGTTGTGGCTAGTATACGTACAACGTAGGGACTTAATAACGTGGTTCTGATGCGACTCATTCGTGTAATCGCGATAAAGGTTCGAAATAAACTCGATGTAAAATTGGCAGTGACGTGCACAGGTTTTCGAGACAGGGCAGGCTACAAAACATATATGATTACCACACACGTCGCTCTTAGTATAAATATAACATATACATACATGCATACATAAGTGCATACAAAGCCAACACGAGGATACAGATCTGGCTTTAAAAATAATATTTTTTATTCTTTCCTCAAATCGTGTCAAGTAATAAAAATTGAGATGGATGAATCTTCCATTGTATCAATGAACCAACTGCTGTCAATTGGTGGAAGCGCAATGTCAAGATTTTATATTTCTGGTATTTTCTCAAGCTTAATGCAATGTAAGGCAATTATTATGCTAATCTGGTAAGTTGCCAGTGGTACCGGCGGTACTATGTTGACAGGCAAAAAACCGGAAACTTGCTTTGCTAAACTTGTTGCAACGGAAAACGACAAAACTGTGAAATATAAAAAAAACGTTGCTCCGCACTAGGATTTTCTCCGGTGTCGTGGGTGCGTTTAGAAATATACATATCACACCCAGACCCGGAACAACAATTTGTGGTAGCTATTTGTAGTTGACAAACTTTTTCGTTTGCATAATATTTTGCATAGATAAGTAGCGTATCTTTTTGCAAACACACATTTGTTCCTATGATAGCTATATATATGTGTGTGTTAACCCGTTTACAAACACAAAGAGTGGCTCCACGCGGGAGTAGACCACGGAACTATTGAGTTTCTTGCTCGTTCTTCTCCATCGGAATCTACACTTTGGAACGAGCAAATAGCTTCACTAAGAGGACTGACCGACAGACTGACAATATAGCTTCAAAATTTTTGTTTGACGTTCAAAAGTGCCTGTAAAGGTCTAATTGGAATAAATGATTTTTGACTTTTTTGAACAGGATATGTGACAGTCGGTTCCCAAGACGCTGCGTCTACCGTGAAGACATTTGGTCATCAACTAGCCTCTACCAAGGCCCGAATGGAATAGATAGGGCAAATAATTAAATAAATGCATGGCATTTTTCACGATCACAAAAGATTGAGCCCGATATAAAAATCTAAATATTGTGTAGGTCGGTGTTATGTACCTATATGTATGCTTTGTACAATACTCATTCAACGTCGAGATGTTAATTGGTCATCAAGGTTGTGCAAACAGTTAGAGTCAACATGCAATGGAACAAAGGCACCAGTCGCAGCCTAATAAAGATCTTCCTTATGCTACATATAAACCTAGTCTTATTGATTAGCGGAATCATAATGAAAGGACGTTTATGTCGAAATATGTTCGTAGGTAGGTACTATACTAGATAGGTAGGTATGTCTATTTTCACATTGTCCTGAAAAAGTTTATTGCAAGGCGTTGCGTGCAGTGACAACGGTTGGTATCGGAGTCTCGTTGTCTCATTTGCGTTGTTATCGAACGATGCACTCACCGCGGCATTCTCCATCTCCACAAGAGCTCCGCTTACGTTCTGTTCTATGCATGTTTGCTCGCAAAACAGGTGCAGGAGTTACCTAGAAATGTTACGAGATAATATCATCAAGCCATTTTACATTTCTTAGCCAATGTAGTCAACATTTTCATTTTTTTTTCTGTTACAATGTGAAAATTACCAGTCTTGCATGCATCACTTCGGCAATAATATTACAAAGTAAATAACATATATTTGTTGTGCAGCTTCAGTGAGGCGGACCCACCTACGCCGGCCCCCCCGATGCCGGACTCGCGGGACATCCTCCTTCTGTACGCCCGCGAGGGAGACTACGGCCAAGAAGTCGTCGACGCACTAAAAGACCTCATCGTCGAAGCTACCGGAGCCAAGGTAAACGATATTTGTTCATATGTTTACTTCTGAACGAAGTCCTCTTTGCGCTCTGTGGTATTACTTCAGTACAAGTATAACGGTCATTGACCCATCTAAGGCGAGGCCTATTATACTCACACAAAAGGGAACAACTGCCTAGGATGACTAGCATTCAGTACACTTCCCTCCGCCTTGATTACTCTTTTCAATCAATTTTAATTAGCATTGTATAAGCCGCAAAAAATATTGGAATTAAACGCAAAAACGGTTTGTCGCCATTTTTTGGGTCATTCTAACACCATATTGATTCAGTTAAAATCCGTTAAATCGACAGTAAACATCATTATTAAATGACTAATGTTAATTTGATTTCCCAATAAGACTTCACGATATAATTCTTACTAAAACACCTACCCCGAAATGGCCAAGTAGGTAAAGGTGTCTGCATAACTTGGCGAAATCAATATCAGTTTGCAACCTGCATAGTCAGCTAAACCGAACGGTATCGATATGATTTCTATTAGCTGCGGTGGGTAATAGTCGATAAGCTAATATTATAGTGCCTACGGCAAAACTTATTTTAGTTTTTCATATCTATGTATTTTCCTAGCTATTTAAAGTAGCTTTCTTTAGTTTTTTAATAAATCGATCGTATGATTTATTAAAAAACTTTTGTAGATATCAAAATAATATGTTAATATTTTCCTCCTGTTAAATTCCTATATCAAAATTACATCTTGTTTTCCTGCTAATGATGCTGGCGTTTTGTAAATGCTACTTATATTGTATATATATAGTAAGCAGGTACCTACTACCTAAGTAAACATTTCTCTTAAAAGTAACCTGCTGTGTAGATTTTCCTACTTATTATTGACAAAAGGTCCTAAGCACCAAAGTCAAAGTATTATTAGTACCTGTTCATAAATATATGTGAAATAATAATAAAAAAGTTGAACAATGATGTATAAGTACGTTCTAATAGGTAGGGGATAAAGTTCCTTCGCAATAAAAAAAACACATTATCGTCATCGTTTTTAAACTTTTAACTTAAGCATGTAAGTACCATTTTGTTCGATAATTTTTGCCTTTTTGTTGGTCGAGATCGAGACATAATCCCATTGCTATACATATGTACATATTTTGAGACTTCTACGAAGATACAGGTTGAAATATGAAGGGTCAGTAATATACGGCGGATGCACACCTCCCAGCCAAACTCTTAACTTTAGCGGGAAAAAGTCAATAATACACAAAATGTTTGTTATTCATCTAAATTTATTTTATCATCTTCAAAGTATGCTCCTTCAGAAACGATACACTTACGCCAACGAATAATCTAATCATCGAAACTTTTTTTAAACGCTGTTTCCGGAATTGAGTTCAGTGCTCGCCGCGAATTCTCCTTTATGTCTTCTAAGGATTGAAAACGGGTACCACGAAGGGGTAATTTGAGTGTGGGAAAAAGAAAGAAGCCGGCTGGAGCCATATCTGGTGAATATGGTGGCTGCTCGATGGTGTTTGTTGAGTGTTTGGACAAAAAATCGTTTACAATGATGGCCTTGTGCGAAGGCGCATTATCGTGATGCAAAATCCAAGAATTTTCTATCCACATTTCTGGCCTTTTTCGTCGAATTTGTTCTCTTAAACGCCGCATAACGCTCAAATAATATTCTTTATTTACCGTTTGACCTTCGGGCAAGAATTCTGAGTGCATAACACCGCGATAGTCAAAGAAAACAGTCAACATGACTTTGACTTTTGATCGACTTTGACGTGGTTTTTTCGGTTTTGGTTCAGTTGGAAGGCGCCATTCCGAAGCTTGTTGACTAGTTTGCATGTCAAACTCGTAAACCCACGTCTCGTCACCAGTAACAATGCGTTTCATGAATGTTGGGTCGGTATTGACTCGTTCTAGCATGTCCTCAGCGACTTTCATGCGATTTAGTTCTTGAAGAAAATTCAGGTCTTTTGGGACTAGCCGAGCGGCAACACGTTTCATACCCAAATTATTTGTTAAAATGGTACGGATCGACTCGTGAGATACAGAAAGTTCGGCGGCCATCTCTCTCAAACTTGAATGAGGATTTTCATTCACTATTTCATTCACTTTTGCGATGTTAACTTCAGTTGCAGACGTTGATGGCCTACCAGAACGAGGCAAATCTTCCATCACATCTCGACCGCTTTTGAACGCTTTGTACCACTCATAAGCACGTGTTTTTGATAAAGTCGATTCACCGTAAGCCTTCTGTAACATTTTGAGTGCCTCCGAACACGAAATTTCATTGGCGATGCAAAATTTAAGACAAACTCTTTGTTCGATGTTTTTGTCCATTATGAAATTCGCAATACACACTAGATATTATAAAACTAAAAACAGCACTGTTTTTAATATAAATAACAGATGCAACTCAAATTCCGCGCCAAAATGGAAAATAGTTATGCCAATCTAACATGAACAAAAAAAAAATTAAAATTCGAATTTGGAACCATAAAAAAAACATTCATTCCCGATACTTTGTTGACTGAATGTATGTTTTGGATTTCTTTATTGTGACAGTACGAAAAACAAATGAAAATCTCAGGTTTTTTTAAGTTCAATTTGGAATTCGTTTGTTTCAAGCGGACACTTTTGTCGTGGTTATGGTATGTTCTTGGGTGTTTTTTTTTTGTGAGAGGAAAATCATCAAATGACTTCTCCTGCCAAAGGCGGGAGTGAGTGTCAGACTCTTACTGACTAAAAACCCCCTGTTCCTTCTCCTGCTCTGGGCCGAGGTCGCAGTGCCTCATTGCGCTTACCCCGCAACCCATGTTCTTGGTGGCTGCTTTTGCGATTTCTCTTAATTTTTACTATTTTAATTTTAGTGGCATTCCTAGCGCATTCCGCAATTGAGCTGGATGTCACTAATTTTATAATGTGCGTTCGTTTAGTTGGTGACTGACTATGAGGATGCTGACCCTTTATCTTCGCTTGGATCACTAATCGTTCCATTTGTCTTCGCTTTGAATGATATGGCTAAACATTTTAAGAGTTCTTGTTTGTACAATCGAAGAAAGTCTTTGTTTGATGCGAAGCTCTTTTAATATTGAGACATATGTGCGTCGCTCAGTCCAGATAATGCTCAATTTGGAATTATGTACTTTAAAATCTAGACTTTCAACGATATCGATCCAGCCAGTTACAAATAGTAATAACCAAAGAGATCTTATTACAAGTTCACACATATTATAATGTGAAGAGACTTTTCCCCAACTTATTATTATAGAATAATGATATTAGTCACATGTTTATTGATCAGCTTCTATGTCCTTTTTTTAAACAAACCGTGAAATAAGTTGTTTAGACGTGTAAGGATGAGTGTTGAGCAGAGTATGTGGTCGGCAGGTGTACGACCTGTACAGCCCTTCGGTGGTGGCGGCGCTGGGCGCGGCGCCGGGCGCGTGGGTGCGCGGCGCGGTGGGCGGCGCGCGCGTGCTGCTGCTGCAGGCGCCCGCGCTGCACGCGCTGCACGCGCTGCACCACACCACGGGGGGACTCACGCGTACGTACTGCACTATGTTACTACTTACTCCATGGCGGCGCTGGGCGCGGCGCCGGGCGCGTGGGTGCGCGGCGCGGTGGGCGGCGCGCGCGTGCTGCTGCTGCAGGCGCCCGCGCTGCACGCGCTGCACGCGCTGCACCACACCACGGGGGGACTCACGCGTACGTACTGCACTATGTTACTACTTACTCCATGGCGGCGCTGGGCGCGGCGCCGGGCGCGTGGGTGCGCGGCGCGGTGGGCGGCGCGCGCGTGCTGCTGCTGCAGGCGCCCGCGCTGCACGCGCTGCACGCGCTGCACCACACCACGGGGGGACTCACGCGTACGTACTGCACTATGTTACTACTTACTCCATGGCGGCGCTGGGCGCGTATACTTACCTCTTTTGCTACACATACAACATCGATCACTAATAAAGAACTAGATACACAATCCCATACAAAAGTTCGCTTCAAAACTGTCGCCAACTGTATTTAGGTACTTATACTTGAAATAAACATGCATTAATGTAAATTAAACTTTAAATGCAACTCATAGAGTTGTTTTCACAAAGTGATGTACAAAATCTAAAAATTTTTTGCATAAATCATAAGAAATTGAACCATATTCGCATGTTTTTAAGTCGAATTTACAAAGTGTCAAAAATAAGCAATAAAATTTAACGACTTCGGCTCACCGCTAGGACAAAGAATGATTGAAGTCGAAATGTCTCGTAAAAAATATTTTTCTTTCATATTTTTTTTTTTGATAATTTATCAAAAAAAAATACGAAAATTAAAACGCTTTACTTATAGTATTCTTTTTATCAATGGAACTAATGCATATAGTTATAATTTTTTTTTTATTATTTTCGTCTTCCGTAATCCTTCCTAAATTTGGAATATTTTTCAAAGTATATATGTATACTTTAAAAATTATTCTTTGAAAAAATATATTTTTATATATTTGGAATATTTTTCAAATTCGAAGTCAAATAGAGAAGATGTAAAATAATAAAAAGAATATATATCTAAAGTAAGAACTGAAAATGTTGGCGTTATTGTTGTCAATTTTTCATATCGCACGGGATTTTGATGAAAGCTAAAAAAAATGTCTTTACTGCAGTTAAAATTAAATCTATTATATCTGCCTATTCCATATTTTAATAAACACAGTAAAGAAGTATAATATTAAATAAAAACTATTTTTTAATAAAAAAAAAACAATAAATAAAATTAGAAACAATAGCGTCTCCACTAAACGGAACAGAATCAATCCACGTAAACCGAAAAACTTAAGTGGTCATGCTAGAGAATGATTTTACGTTTAGTATAAGTGTCTTTATAAACTGTGTGCATTATAACCCCGGTTTTTGAATACGATTTCATTTGGAAAAAGTTTTAAAGTTGATTTCTTAGTAAAATATCAATATTTAAAATAGAATGATGACAATTAGATAATGATAATATTATTACTTAACGAAAATATGAAATTCCATCCTTTTTTGCGTCTTAGATGTGTGTTTTTTGCAGTTTTTAAACGAGCACTGAGGCGTGTTTACTGTTGGAGCATTCGAGTGGTACTAAACTAAAACTACACCGCAATGTTGAGTTTGGTGGACTTTCAGTTAGGACATTTTTTGTCACTGATTGCGTATCTAGTTCTTTATTAGTGATCGATGACATACAACTATGGTACGACGGACGCTTCCGCATAAAATGGTACGTACCTATACTAGATGAAAAATTATACAGGGTGTAAAAAGACACTTAACGAAACCGTTAACTATGCATACCTACTGCAGTTCTAAGTAGCTTTACGCTAAAATTATCACTGGGAAACGACTTTTATTTTTAAGTATCAAAAAAATTATAATTTTATTGCGCGCAATGCAAAGCAAACAGGCTTCGTGTCATTGTGTGCGTAAGTTCACAGCTTAGCATTAAAACGCTGTGATAAGTACGTAGGTCGACGTTTTACTTCACAACAACAAAACAATTCTGTAAAATAAAAATCCTACTGAGATGCACGATGTTTTTTATGCGGGTCTGCATTTATTTATTACGTACATTACTGTTCGTAACTTCAAATGCATAATTTATTTAGAAAAATCGAAAATTCAGAAAATGTTTGTTTGGAAAAAAGTTTTATAATAATACTTAGAATTCGATTGCGCAAAAAAAAATTAAAAATGCATCTTTGACCTTCAATATCTCGAGAACGCGTGGAGTCCCAGCTATGGTCTTAAAGAAAAAAATGATCCACATAATGGGTAGAATACTTGGCTTTCGGCTTCGTTAAGTGTCTTTTTTACATCCTGTATTCTTATTTTGTTTATCACGCAGCAATACCAATATATGTCTTCTATTAATAAAATGCTCGTCGAGCAAACAAGGAGACTTATTTCAACTTACTTACCCCTTCCCAGCTAAGATTAATAGCTAATTAACAATCCCAATTTATCATTTTTGACTTAAAGTATATTTTATCACTACTTTAGACTTCTGTCAAAACTAAAAGTTAATCCAAAGATTTTGAAATTGGGTTGGTTCTATAGTTTCTATTTAAAATAACTCCTTTGACTCCATTCATAGCTCGCTACTGGATATTTTTTGTTAATAATGGACATTTAATAATTTTATTAAATGTTACCTAAACAGTTACTCAAATTATCAAAACCAATTAATTACAACCATGCAAACTTTCTTATTTTAAACATAAAATGTATACAAAACCATTATTTTGGATTGCCAATATGCATATTAGCGTCGTATTAATAATAAGGAATACCATCCCATCATATTTTCTTTTTCTTTAACAACTTGTTTTCTGCATTATTCTCACATATAGGTATAATAATGTCTAAATAATAATAATGTATCTTTAAAACAAATGTTATTTTTTAAAAAGGTATCAATGGAGTTTCTGGCTCGTTGTTCTTCATTCGAATCTATAATAGCTTCACTAACACCCGGTTTCTAAAAGGCTTGTCAACGCTAAAATTAACTAATCTCCTGTTAAATCTCTTGTCAAGTCATCTGATTGGTTGTTGATAATTTAGTCAACCAATCAGATGACTTGACAAGAGATTAAATTGATTTTAACATTGATCGGCCTTTCGGAAACCGGGGGTCAGAAATAGACTGACAGTCTACTATTCTAGTTTGACGTTTCAATGATTATATATTAGTACCTTTTTATGGTTTATTTGGAATAAATGGTTTTGGCTTTGTGGTTCCAGTAGGCGGGTCGCGCGCCATGTACCGCGCGCCGGCGCCGGGCGACGACCTGCTGGGCGTCGCGCTGCGACTCATCGCCGACAGCCCGCACTCGCACCACCACTACCACAAGTACTACCTCGCCACGTACGTGTCCCACTTACTATACCATCAGGATCCAATCCTTTAATGCTGCGACCATACAAACAACTCTTACAGTTGAATTAGTATGTGCGCTCAAGCCGGTCCTATGACGTCGCGAACCGAAACGTGAGATAAAATAAATCTCAGTCATTTCACACAACAACAAAATTTGTTAATAGGACCAGCACTGAGTGCTACTTAAAAAAATGAATCCTAATAATATAATCGCGAAGGTTAGTTAGTAAGTATATTTGGATGAATAGATGGAGTGTGTGTAATAGATTAGAATTGTCATATTAGGTTATCCGTTAATTCATAATGTACATACATCATATAAATGCTTTTAGAAAATTGCTTCCCTGCTAAGTTTACATATAACTAGGTTTTAGACCTCGGTGCTCAATTAGGCTACTATCTGTGGTATTCTACTATCATGGTATACAAATAATTACAAATCAGTAAACCTAACCCAACTGCTATCATGGCCACACCCCACCCTCTTCATGATCGACGGAACTAGCACACGGCCCCCAGTTACCGGCAGCTCCGCTATTCCTAAGGTAGCGAATCGGTAATGGTGGAGCAGAGGACGCGGCGGTGCTCAGCCAAAGCAGTGCACACCGCCACCGTGTCCTCTAGGTGGTCCTCACAATGACGACACTCGGGCGTTTCCTCCCGCTGGATCCGAAACAGGAACCTACCGAAGCTGCCGTGCCCGGTAAGCACCTGCGTCAGACGGAAGATGAGGACGCCGTGGCGTCTGTCAAGCCACTTCTCAAAGAGGGTCTTACCGCTGCTATAACTGCGTGCCCAAAGATTGTTGAGCTGGAAAAAGAATTTAGCAAAATTCGTTGGGCCAACTTAGGACTATCTGAAATCCGAAGAGAGATTCAGAATACCGTAGTCAATATTCTATATACCAGAAACTTGTAGTTTTTCCGGGAAGGAGAACGAAAATTTCTCGTCCGCAAGTCCCTCGTTAATAGCACGAGCAAAATTGACAGCATGTGGATTAGGGTACCATACCTTACACTCAGATTATCAAACAGATATAAGCTGAATTTTGTACAGGTGTGTGCGCCGACCTCGACACATTGCGACAATGAGTTAGAGGCTCTATATGAGGAATTATTCCAACCATACACACCTCCAAAACGCTTCGCCGTTGTGATGGAGGACTTGAACAGAATGAGAGACAGAATGCGATGAGTTGAAAATGGGACCGTTTGGATGTGGCAGCGGAACCTTCGGGACAGCGGTGGTGGTGGTCGCCTTTATGGAGAGGGGGAGACTCTATTTCATGAACTCCTTCTTCTAAAAGCGAACATCCACGAGGTGGACATGGCTAAACTCCGATGATTCAACTAAAAACGAGATCGACTTCGTCAAGCGTATATTTGGTGATGTCTCTGTGATCTGTCAGGTAAAAATCGGTGACTGAGGTTCACTTACAATATTGTTAAAGGCACACTGAATATCAACGTCAATCAGGAGACGACACGCATGTTGAAGGTCACACTCCGCCCTCGCCGCAATCAGATTCGGAACCCCGAAGCCTTTCAACTCGTTACTCGTACTGCATAATCGCTTACAGTGCGTAACCGATAATGAAACAAAACATTGGTTGGTGGAAACTGTCCGAGTAGTGGGGTCGGAATTCTTTAAGACCTTACGCCGAAACAAACATCAAAAGCTCTCGAATGGAACGTTGAAGCTCCTAAAACAACGAAACGTGATGAGGCTACAGTTTTCAGCCGACATGCCTGAGTACGATAACCTCAATAGACGAATTTCAAAATCCATGCGACGCCACCTGCGTGCTTATAATACTGCACGAGTCAAAGATGCATCATACTCGTTATCAATATCAATGGCGAATACATCACTCATATTCGGTTTGTCGATGATATAGTTTGTAATAGCAGAGTCGGTAGATGACCAGAACGCTGCTCAGCAACCTCAATACTCAAAAGGTGGATCTAAGATAAACATGGACAAGACAAAAATAATGTCAATTGCCGTTGTTACACCTTTACCGGGTATTGTTGGAAGCGATATCCTCGAAGTTGGAGACTTCTATTACAAATCTAGAACACATAATCCAGCTAGGTAGATCCAACTTCGATACAGGCAGCGTTCTGTATAGTTATGTTTAATTGTTGTGCTGTGTCCACCATTTTTGTATGAGCTCTTTTAGCTTAAGCACATTGACGATATAAATTCCCGTCATCTCTACCAGATGATGTTACAAGCAATCTGAATAGTAAGTCAACAAAGAAATCCGAGTCATAATTTTAATTTTTCGAGTGTTATGCTCTGAGGCCATAATTCAAAAACAGAACGCATGGATTCAAGGATTAGAAAAGATCTAGAACTTTTACAATAGTCTATTATTTCAAATAGCTTAAACTAGATGGCACGACTTTCAATATGTTCTACTTTATTGTATTATTTAGTTATAAACTGATATATGATGAATTTCATTCACGCATATCGATCGCTCCGTACATCTTTAATAATATATAAATATTTGTGTCTTTTTAAGTATTCAAAAATGTGTAGCATCCATTCGACTGTTTTCTATGGGATGTGATCTATGGGAAATAAGAGAATATAACTGTGATAAGAATGAATGAATCTGTGAAAAAATAACAATCTTGTATGCCAACGATCGTCAATCTTACGTCATTGTCATTTGATGCATGTTTAACGAAATGAGTGATGAATTTGTATGAAGAGGTACGAAATTGAATTTTCTGGCGGTACTGAGAAGCGAAGAATTGAGAGAATGAGGAGTTGAAGTGTTAATGAGTTTGAATAATTAGGGTCTTTTTTTATTTGAGGCTATAAATGTGATAGGTACCATTATGCTATTGCTCTGGCGTTCAGTAGCAAAAATGCCAGCTAAAATGTGATTATAATCACTGTCTTAGGAAAGTGGTAGTGTGTGTAATATATGTGTTTGTGCATGTGACGCAGTGTGGCGGGGCTGGAGACGGACATAATGCCCAGCGTGGTCCCGTACCGGCGCTACGTACTGCCGGACGCGGCGCGCGCCCTGCTGGCCGACCTGGGCGGCGCCGGGGTCGCGGGCGGCGCCGACGTGTCGCGCGGGCTGGGCCGCCTGCAGCACGCCGCGGCCGCCATGCTGCAGCACGCCGCGGCACACCCCGACTACCTGCACGACGAGCTCATACTGCTGCACCCCGACACATAGCGGGGCATACATCACTTCAATGCTTCACTTTTGAGCGCCACAGTCACTTATACACAGCAAATTACCTGTAGGTACCTTAAAAACTCGTGTTCTGGTCGGTTATGAGGTCTAGCTAACAGTGGCAGAATGCTCCAAATGTTATTTGTTGTTTGTATCCAACGATGTCGCTCAAAAGGTTGTCCCAACCGATGGCATTTGTAGAACGATACGTTCTAGTCGTTTTATATAAATACGAGATTTAAAGAATATGAAACTAGGATTAGTGTGTATTGTGTAATATGTACGTGATATTGTAAATATTAATATTAACCTGTATATGTAGTGCTTCCATGACAGAACGTGGGCAAAATATAGACGCCATGCGTCGAATCTCATAATACTGTTATATGCTTTGATAAACAATTGTCTACTTAGTACAGCGAGGCATCATCACACAAGCAAGAACTATACATTAATTAATACAACACCAATATTTCAAAAATGAAACTTAATAAGTGATGATATCCTTAAATTACTGCAAACAGGACCTAAATTACAAAATGCATATGTGAATAACCAAAATAGATAATTTAATACATTCGTTTCAGTACTACAATGTGCATAGTTGTTGTATACCTGGAAACTATACGTAATTGAACAATATATCTCTCTAATGTTATTTATACGACAAAAATGATCTCGTATGTTTACTGGAGAACAAAATATACACTTAACACTTTGCAGAACTATCTAGATAGATAAGTAAGAACCTCAAATAGTACACAGTACTTATACAATAATGGCTGCTATTAAGTACATAAATTAGAATGCTTGTAATGTTATTTTTAAACAGCATATTGCTGTAATAATATTTTTCGATACCATGCATTTCATTTAAGAGTAGGATAACGCTGCCAAATGTACCGAGTAGTTAAGTTAGATAAATATGCATTGTGTATGATCAACTAAGAAAGGTCACTGAATAACTAATACAGTTTACGCTAACATTGCTGCCCGTGCACTAACGTGACAGATAAAACTCGTTTGCCGTTCCATCTTTTAATTGAAATGCATGGAATTGCTTTCATCATTTTTACACTGGTTTGTGATGATAACGCCATCAAGAATCACCAGTGGATCAAGTGGGATGGCCACTGCTGAACAAAGACCTCTCATATTCCCCACACTTGGCAGGCTGTTTAAGATCGCAGTAAGATTTCCAACAGTTTAACAAGTTGTTACCTATCCTTTAGTGGTCAAGTCCGAACTCATCATCACATACGTAATTTTTCTTATACAAGCGCGTGACTATCATTTTCTTTCGTTTTAAACATTAACGATATTATGACATGTATAAGGATAATCTAATTTCATATTTAAGATGTTACATTATGATTATTTTACTATAATATTATTCTTGCCGGTTAGATACGAAAGCCGGGAAATGTCAGAAGCCTGGTAAATATATAATGTATATATAAAATAATGTAGTAGTGTAAGTATAAGTATTGTTGTCAAGTTGTTGTCTGTGTCGTTATATTGTTGTACGCCCTCATACCTCTCTACTTCCCTGGGACTAGCCCAGTTCACTGTATTTTATTGTTACCACTACCAAATGCTCAAAAAGTGCATGGGATTGTAAGTCTTATGAGAAATAACATTATATCTATCTACTACGACTAATCTCGGGCAATGAGGCTCATGAGCCCCAAACGTAGCTTGAAATTAGTCGATATATTTTGTCAATAAGTGAGTAAGTCATTAAACGTGATTAAAATGCATTAGATACATTGAAATCATGTCACGTCGTCAGCATTAACGTGAACATTGTTCTCGTTACATTTTTAAAGCGTTTTCGATGGATAAATAGTCAATCTGGCTATATGAACTCGATCCTTTCAGTAAGGTAACCGCGTGGTTCATGTTCACAAATTTACCAGTATCTATTGTATCAACTCTGCTTTGTTGTGTGAATGAATAAATGCAACGAAATTGTTAATCAAATACAATAAATAAATATGTTGTCTTTTTGCACCATTTTCTTTATTTTTTACTTGTTTTTTTGTTTACATCCTTTCACAGGTGTTCTGTTGTAGATTGTGTAATAAAAAACAAAAAAGTACCACCATTTTATTTAAGTAATTATAGAATTTTACAAATGTTGAAATATTCACCGGTGTGCAAATCCTTCCCTTGTTAGTAAAGATATTAACTTATTTTCATTTCAACATGTATTTATTTATTGAACAGTAATTTTTACTTATGCTCACGTATTTTTATCCTTCCTTTCATATTTTTTATATTGAAAGAATTTTTACATCGAATATTTTCATATTTTTCAATAATAAATAATAATAACTTTTAAAATCTCCCATTGAAATAGCCATAATTATTACATATAGAATCTCGATTACTTTTAATCAACTTCTATGTAAGTAGCTTTACTTGTCTATCTCCTTCAATCATTAATGAGGTAGAGTAGAAGTCCTTGAAAGAAACAGCATTCATATCAAATATATTTGCATTTTGCGGGTCAAATATGTTGTGTGTGGAAAAACATCAAATATTGACTTTTATTTATACATTTCTTGACAAAAGTTACTATGATTCGTCAGTATTGAGTATTTTATTTAGCAATATAACAAAAACATATTATATACACGTATTTCTAGTAAGTAGGTAAATGTTCCCAGCTTGCAGATAGTGATTTGAAATATCGCGCGGTGTGAGCGAGAGGCTCGTGTGCAGGTGAGACGGCGCGACCCGACACCGAACAGGTAACAGACATGGCGTCGCGCTATTCATTATGCCGCGATACCGCCCGATACAAACTGCGCCTCCGACAGACTACGGCGGATGAGACTTGAGAATTCTTACTATCTCCCTTCCATGCGTCGTCAGCCTTATCTGAACAAAGTACTAGTTGTTTATTGAGATAAGTAAAAAAAACTTGGCTAAAATGATATGCACCTTCAAACTATTTACCTATTCATAAATAACACTAAATGTAGCTTTTCTAATGAGGATACTGTGTAGATGTGGATGCAACAATAGCACTAGAAAAGTTGGTATTACAAGATAGGTACGGTCGGTGTAGGTAGTTTCGTCCATTATTGAGTGTGAGTTATGAATAAAACAAAATCATCGAATACAGTCAATATTTTACCGGTGCCAGTATGCGATCAGAATGTCCATAGTGTGCTAACATGCGCAACTTTTTATCAGCGATTTATTATCAGCCCAGTATTATATAACTGTCGGTGTGTGTATGGTCCGTCCTGCTCGCACATATGCGGCGAGCCCTTCCCACGATCGTCAGAGTGAGACGCAAGATGTTGCATTAAATTTCGATCCTATTCTGTAATGTTTTGTCCAATCGCGTCCGATCTCTGCGTGTTCCGGTTCTTTGTCATCAATGGGTTGCCGGGCGAGTCCATTTGGAGTGCCACTCGAAAATGTTTTACGCTATATTTAAACGAGATTTTGAGCCATGAAACGATTTGAATTCCGTCCGATGGTTGTATCTATCATATAAATCGTGTGTTTCGTTCCGGGCCGCAGTATTTAACGCGATCGCACTTAGGCCCTTTCGGTATTAATGAGTCGGGCCCACTTCAGCTGACTGCGTCGTACGCAAGGCTACTCTAACTAAACTAGTAGTAGTCCGGCGTTCGAAGGAGACGGTCGGTTGCGGACGCGTGCGAGTGATATGCGGATATGTTATTGAGGTTTAAAATGTTTTTGGAACGTTTCCCATAGGCGTGAGGGCTCGTAGATCTCGCGAGTGAGTCGAACAGCGGTGCTAGTGCAAGCACAGTGCGCAGGGGGAAGCCGGCCGCAGCACTGAGTGCGGACGCGGACGAGCGGAGCGAACGACGCTCAATAATGCTCAAATTCCTGACTCACAAGCTGCGAACGCATTCGTTGAATGAGGAGAGCGTTTCCGAGAAGGTGGGTGTCGGCGCGGCTTATGACTCTGAAGGTCATTCCGCCACCAGAAAATGGCCGCCGCAGAACAAAGGAGCGGAACATCCCGCGGCCGGCCCACGCCCAGAGCTGCACGCACGCCTGTCTGAGGCTGGTTGTTTGTTGCAGGTGGAGGAGCGGGACTCCGGCACCGAGTCGGACGACGAGGCCGAGCGCGCCGAGCCCGGTAAGTGCTAAGTACTTCGCTAGACCCTCGGCTCCCTCAACACTGGTTTACCCTATTTTCTTTTAAACAACACCCGGTTCAACGTCACAAACTGCCGGTTGACACGTTACTCTAGAATAATTGAAAATCGATTTTGCAATCCGTCACACGAAAAGGAATCTGTATTTGATAACGCTCAGGTGATAATGTCATGAAATAAAAACAAAATACAATGTAGGTAGGGAGGTAGTTACCTTGTGTGTATGTTAATCTGTAGTATTATTAGAATCTTATTAGCATACTGACCCACCCAGGTGCGGCTCGCATTGTTTATTTTCTATTGAATTTACCAGAAAGAAACGCCTGGAAGGGGCTATGATTGACAACCAGTTATCGAGTTTACATTATTCTGGTCCAACCTTTGTGAACACGAACATTAAGTACTCGGCCATTTAGCGCATGGCCGGGTGTTCCGTGTGATAAAGACCCATTTCTTTGTTAATGTCTGAGGTGACCTTGACGGGCGACCTTGAACTTTTATCGACGTTATCCGGCGTAAATTGAAACATTACGATGATGTCTATGAAGAGGTAGATCAGTTTTATCATTTACACCAGTTTGTGTCCCGTAGAGGGGCTTTAGTATTCCGCTTCACGTATCTGCTCGTATTGTCTATTCAACACTCTCTGTACACTCGCAGCTAGGTAGGTACGCGGTAACTATTTAACAACCGGTATGGAGAAATGATAGATGGGCTCACACACGTACTTTACTCATGACATCATGATGTACATGATGGTAACCGCATACATGTTTGTCTTTTAGTATTTTGTTTTGTTAGTTCTGTCGTGTCATTCATATTACCATTTACTATAGTGCACTGTATGCCGGATTAAGCCAGGCACCTTGTAGTATATTTCTAACACTATTTACTATTAATTAAGTTTAGTATACCCTACTTCCCTAATAGCAAAAAGGCCAAATTTTTTGATTGCAATATAGGAGGTAGGTACCAACAGAGCTATGACAATAGGTACACGGTCTTTCTACCTACTGTGCCTATTGACATGATTGTCCATCATAAAATCATGATTATGTGAGTAGGAAGGTAGGTAAAAAAATAAAAATGTAAAAACGAATATTCACGTGTTTTAGATACTTAATGATTCTTTTAGAAAGAATTCGGAAATGAAACATATTTTAATATGCATTCCTCCAGACTTTCTTCCTTTTCAATTAGTGGGTATTTAGTTGCTATTTAAATAGCCCTACCACTGCATGATTGTTCAGTTTGCGCGACCGCTGCATTGTGTTGCCACTTGCCAGACTAGGATTAAAGCTGCGCTTGTCAAAATTGTGATAACCTTCCAAGACGTGATGGATGTGCACGTTACGTAACACGTGCATGCATATGTTACGACGTCCATCATAATTGAATGTGCCAAAGTCTAACGCTATTAAATAAATACACGAATGATTATCACCCGGTTAGCGAGCTGGCCGGTCTCGCTGATAATATTTGTCTTCCGTGACGTTTATGTAAACAAATAAAGAGTTATTTAGGGTGTGTCCAATAAATGGCTCAGTCAACATGAATCAGGCGGGAGTGTCAGGCATAGGTCGTGTGATGATATGCCTACTTTTTGAAACAGATTACGATTACCAGGAACTTGAGCTACCCTCGTGGGTTCCCTTTGAATGTCACGGCACTAATATTAGTCATAGTAGTATCAAAATTATCTTTATTTACAACTTTTATAAGAGTACCTAATATAAAAACTGAAAAGTAACAATGAAATGGTGTTCCTTGGTGATTTCTCTGGCCATACAACTTATTAGTTACGTGGTACCCGTGTCAACTTAAATTAATATTTGTCTCCGGTGCACCTATTTTTATTGTTAGTGTTTGTCAAAAGCTTTCATTGTTTAACGTTAACCTGTCTTTACAATTTCCACGTTAAATGCATACACACCGACAGAGACATGTTTCGTATGTGGTAGACTGTAGGCTGCAGGTTATACTTACCTGAATGCATGTGGCAAGTATTTCTACAAGTAAATCAATTCCAACTATCGTGGTTTTCCTCAATTCTTATGCGTAAAGTCACTCATGATTTTGTCTCGAAGGTTTCGTCAAACGAGTCTATGTTTGTTTACAAATCTCGCCCAAGTGCCGAACATCGTGCTCGCTGTCAGGGCACGGGGACTAGGTGCACGTGCAGTCGTACTTCTGGTTGTATTTGCTACGTACGTGTTCGTGTCCAACAGTCAGTATAAACAAATTGGCATATTCTCTTGTCATATGACTAGGGAGATTCACGACTGACAAGGAAGTTCTGATAGTTATGTCTGCTGTAGGAGCGAGTTCGGCTGATATACATTTGCAGAAGTAGCACTGTAGCATGCGTCTACCTGCATTCACAGAATATGAAATCTGCAGCTCGGGCGCCTGCAAGACGAGCTGTTGGTTTCGCTCGATGTCCTCAATTATCTCGTCACATTGAAGGCGATATTTATTTACTGCGAGGCCGGCACGCAGTCTGATACTCTTCCATGACAGTCACTATTGAGTTAGTTACAGAAGTTCCACGTTTGTCATGCTCTGCTAATCATAAGTACCTATTTATCATGCTCCGCTACTCTGCTGTGATTGATGACAATTAGTGCTTGCTGTAATAATAATATTTTGGTTGTGATTGCAAATAAGTTCAACTTAATAAATTGTGGTTTTCCGTGTTTATTTTATTAGTTACGTTCAGCTGGCCAAAGCAAACCCTCTGTGTTGATATTGTAGTGAGACAGTCAGACAACGCATACAACCGACTACTAATAACATAATTAGATTTAAGACGGTACGCACGTGCGGCTGGGGCTCGTATCGTATCGAAGTCAGCTTTATTAAATTTTTCCACGCGGCTGATAAGGATATGGTCAAAGTGGCGTGTCAATATTGCTCGCTGTGATATCTACTAATTCCTGGTCAAGTGGTTACCACTAAATACTCCATAACGCTGAATGCAAGAAGCCAAAACAAATATGTACTTTACAAGATGTACCGGATGCTCAAAATCCAAGGAGTTATTCATTTACACCGTACGCAGTAATATTTGAAACTCCAGAATTAAAATAATTTTTCAGTCAATCCGTTACTGCCGTCCCCGCTTAAATGTAGTCATTCGTATTTTCGTTATCAATCAATCGGGCCGATTTTTTGATAATAATTTCATGTAAATAGTATTCCTAGATAATAATATTGTACCAGCACAATTTGGCTTTACCTGAAATATAGATTTGACAATGTCTCTTCAGTCAGGTATTTGCAGTAATATTATTTATATTTGCAGCTGTCCTATCGTTATTTAAACACCTAGTCAAGGCCACATGACCACCTAATATACCGAGCCTACTGTGTGACCAAAGTAAGAATACACACAGCTGCCTGTTTGTACCGCCGATATTGTAAGATGGTAGTCTTGACTGTAACAATTATCGCCATAAAACTACACAGATACTATTATAGAAAATACATTTCATCTTTTCCAATAAAGAGAAATCATTAAAAGGAACTCATATTTCAAAATCCTTAGTTTGTTCCACAGCCAACAAATAGTATTGGTGCTATAAAATAGTAGTATACCAGGTATTTACAGGTCTGAGACGATTAGATCTAGGTCTAACTTTTTCCAACCGGTTCAGCCTAGGTAAATCCAGTTACGCCACTTAAAAACCAGTTGTTTGTGCTCTTTTACACCTAATCTAGTACATATTGGAGACAAGGAACACGGAGGTACCGAGCTAGTGAGTACGCTCATGCGGAGGAGTGCCACACTCTAACAATGGCGGGATGTTAGTATTGAGTTTGTTTATCATTATACATATATACATTACAGTTTGTCCCCACAAAACGTTACTCTTTTGCTGTCCTTTTCTAGGTGATTGCCTGTCCACACTACAAGCAATAATTGTAATTATTTGATATCACGGATTTACATTTTCAATTCTCACAGCACATCTCATCACTTCGATTGCTTGGATTATTATAGACTACTACACAATGCTACCTACTTTATTTTATTCGATTGGTACAAAATTGAATTGCATAATATGTAAATGTTGTGCATATAATAATAGAAGTAATGTGATATTAAAGACAGGGTGATGAGATTCCATTGCAGTGTTATGTTCTAAATGCAGGTAGTGGAAACTAAGACCTGTGCACGGTAAACAAGTGGTATCGTGGCAGTGTATTATGTTTTGATATTAATTCGCTATCGAGCCGCGATAACCCTGCACATCGGCAGTTTATCGAGCGGCGTGTGTCGCTAGTGCTAGTCACTAGAACGTTCAGTAGCCGCCTAGCCATCGCCTAGCCGCTCGCTGGCTGCTACCCGATGGCCGGCGTGTTGCGGTGTGACCACCCTACTCCTGATTCCTACAGTATTGCAAGCAGGACTCTTAGTTAACGAGGATCTTTTGCGACACATTGGTAAGCGCTTAGCATTAATTTGTTTAGAGTAGTGAATTAGTGATCACTACCAGAATTACAACAATAGATATAAATATTGACATTGTAAAAGTTAAAAGTGTAACAGTTGTAGCATTCTATTAATATAGCTAGCTTTAGCTAGTCCGCTACATTAATTATCATCGCAAATAATCCCATTTTCGATGATACTGCAATAATCCCTAAATTAATCTTCCATTCTTCGCCAATCCCTAAATCTTCGAAATTCCCCAAATGGCCGGCAACGCACTCGTAACTCCTCCAGCGTTCCGGATGTCCATGGGCGGTGCCGGTTATTTACCATCAGGTAATGTCTGATAGATTGTCGACCTATCCCATAATAAAAATTAGCGAGTTTCAGCTTCCATCTAATCTTGCAGATGTTGTAGACGTGACATGATGGTACCTACTCGATAATAAGCTCATCAATATAAAGACGATAAAAAAACATGCACTTTTACGTGTTTTCGGAAAATTAATAAACGTATCATCAAATCACATTGGGTGAAATGGTCGT